GGCCTCCATTTTCGCGCGTTACGTAGTACGGTGCAATTAGCTGTTCAATTTTGACCTTTCGGAGACACTACGCGTCCAAATTAGGCTGGAACGGAAACTGTCAGGTCTTTTCAGAAACACATCACTTGTGTTAGGATCTGAGAGAGCTCCTCAGAATGTACTTGAGCAAATGAAACAAAAAATAAAATGGATTTTAATGTTATATGTATTCAGCCAAGGCAGCACGATGGCTCAAATATCGGAAATCGGAAATCTGAACGCTGCCAAAGCTATTACAAATGAAACACTAGAAGCGGCGCTATCGCAAGGTACGGGGCCTTGTGGTGGCAATGCATTTGAGACCGTGTAAAGCATCGTCTTCTTGTTAAAATGGGACCGAGCCCTTAGGACAGGGTGGAGAGTTTCCAGAGCGCGTGAGCAACCTTAACACGTTGACGACAACGCGCGTTTTGGCTTTTTGGCCACGTGGGACCGGCGCGATTTTGCGAGCGCCGCCGCCTCAAGTCATTTTGCGTGGTAAATGCATAAAATATGACCTCTGCAAAGTTAGATGAGTAAACTTCAGTATGGAGAAGCTACCCAGAATTACAGTAGTAAATCTCGATCGAAATGCTTGAGATAAGATAAGAAAAAGCAAAATTTGCCAGGATTGCTGCAATGAACGTTAGAAGAAATTTTACATTGATTGTTTCAATACAAACACATATCTTGCCATCCGTTAGGTTCCGTATTGACTGCTATCGCTGTTTTGATAATCAAATTCATGAAAGGAAAATGGAAACAAAAAATCGAGTAGGCTGAAGATTTCGTATGCGTCAGAAAATCTCCTCTGAATTGAAGCATACGCAGCCATTCTACGAGCCACAATGACTGCATCTAATTTGAAGCATACGTGACCATTCTAAGAGCCACTATGTTTGCATCTATACTAAGGTTTTCTCTATGGAATAAATACAAGAAACTCAAAAATGAATCACGCGTGCGAGAAAAAATGAATGCATTGGGTGCAGGACACATACGTCCCGCGCTTGTCCGTCATGGCCTGCAAAGTGCGGGACGTATGTGTCCTGCGCTGTCGTCAACGTGTTAATTTCACCGAAGTTCCAGCTCCCTACAAGACTTGGTCCATGCAGTGCCCCGTATCTTGCGATAGCGCTCTAAAAGCACCAGAATAAACGGAATTTTTTGAAGCTATTGAAGAGTTCCATGGCTGTTTTGCACTTTCTCTGGCTCCACTCGTAGCGCGTAGATAAGTTCGTACTCGTGTTCACTCAGTTGATGTTAGTAGGTATTATAGCGCTGAAGACAGACAGTTGGGTCCCCCGATGATGATTAGGTTGACGATGATGATGTGCTATTGTGTTCGGGGACAAAGGCCAAAGTATGTGTATGTATGCGCGATGATAGTTTTTCGAACGTATTTCGCCCCTATGCTTAAGCAGATTACATGCTCTACTTGTGTTTTTACCGTTCTTCCGGTACTCATCGGCCTTCGTTTAATGAACTCTACGACGCGTCCCCATTTTGTATGACATCCATCCTATTCACTTCACTCATGCACACACACGTAATTGCGCTCAGTGACCATGGAATAAGCGTCGTCAATCGGGTTGCCGGTTTTCATTTCCTACCTGTCCATGGCTCTCAAGAAGGCAGACTGACAGACAATTGAATGTGACGATGGGATTCGTTACACGTGAATACACCATTGAAACTTGCAGTTCTCAAGAAAAAAAACATGTAATTACTTCGGTAATAAAGAGCGGCTAAAAAGAATTTTCCAACTGTTTCACGTTAACCATGAAATGGAAACCAATGAACTACTGAAATTTTGTAAGCTCATTTTCATTTTTTTTTGTTTCAACCCTGCTACAGGACTGCACCAGCTCACTGGATCGAAGTCCTCGACTGCCATTTGTGAGCGTCACGAGCCTGCACAATGCAGTAAGGGGGAAAAACAGGTAAAATAGAGTGAAAATGAGGGAAAAGAAAAGGGAAATAGGGGAAATTTCTGCGGTTTCGTGGTAGCTTTGAGGGAAAAAGAAGTTGTGAAGAAAGGGTCGAGGGAAATCTGTCGTGAAGGAGGGGGTCGTAAAAAAAAGTCCTAACGATAGGACCGACCCTGGTTCGTAGTTCGAGCAGCAGCAGCCCAAGGCACAGTAAGTGAGCTCTCCTCCTGCTCATCGCACATTCGACTATCTGGAAGCAGCTCTTCAGATAATGAGGAAAATGTCAACTTCCTGCAGCCCTCCGTTAGAGCGTTCACTAAAAGGTTGGTAAACCGCAGTAAAAAACCGTCTGCGGTGCTTTACTGATGGTGCTGTAAGCTCAAATTACTACTTAATACTGATGCGACTTATTTTATTTATTTATTTATTTTTTATGCACCCGACGCGCTCATAAAAACAGAGTTGAAAAGGTAAACACTAAGCACGGAATCAAAAACAAACAAACAAACAAGAGGATCGAATCATTAACCTATTGATAAAACAAATTCAGAGAAAAATTCCCTGATGCAAAAGTAATAGAAGATCTTTGAGATCGGATTTTTGAAAAAAAATTTCAATTGCTCAATCAAGTCCCCAGGAAGTTTTCTTCATGCTCTTTCAAGTTCCAACGAGTGCTCCGAAAAGGTGAGCAGATCAAATTTTTTGTTTTTTTGTTTTTTTTTTTTTTTTTTTTCCGTAGTTCGAGAACTGTGTCTAAAATCACAAGAAGTACAATTTTCAGGGATTCAGGAAGTTTTTGCTCTTCAGTTGTTTTCCCAGATGTGCTTTCTGGTTATTAGAACGTAGTAAGGATTTATATTTTTATTTCATGGTAATGACTTCTATTGAAGTGTTGACATAAGCGAAATTTTCTCATGTTTGGAAAAAGATGAAAACGACCATTCAACCGAAACCAAAGTTTTTTTAAATTTTTTTGGAAATTCAGCTCCGAAAACATTTCGTATCATTACTGAAGGGAATATGTCAAAAATTGGCCGAAAATATCAATTTTGAAATGAGTTATGGCAAAAAACGTCTGCGGTGATTTTTTTCTGACGATACCAAAAATTGTTTCTGCGCATTTTTACAGATTCGAAAATGCGCTCCTATTTTCTCATCAGGGACTATTTAATGGACCATGTTTTCCACTCCGCTACCGCAATTTACTGTAATGCTCCCATCAACGAGAAATGTACCTGAACGAAGTGTTAGTGACAAATGTTGTCTAACCTGAGGATAGCCAAATATTCTCATTACCCAAATTGCACTTCCGTTTTACTAGCTATTGTTGCGAATAACTCCAACGGTCATTGACACCATAGTGGATCACGGTCAACTCTCACCCCTTCAATAACTCGTTAACGGTAATTCTACTGAGAAGTAATTGTTGCATACAATAGAACACCATCGCAGAACAGTAGGTGATGCTATTGTTGTTTACCAGTTACAAAATGAAATGAAATATTTTACAATGTTCACTTTGTCTGTGTGGCCGATTCAGACTCGGGGCCATACACTGCACTTTGAAGGGGGAGCCTGATGTGACGAAATGGGGACGTTTTTCCAGAAGATATTGCAAAGAGAACCTTCCAAAAACGTCAGATTTTTTCGCTTAATGAACAAATCAAAAAAAATTGAACTTTTTTTTGCTGTTGTGGCCGTATCAACAGTCATAAGTGGGGCGAGACAGGTGCGGGTTACATCTGATATCAACTCACCCCACGAATGAGCCTGGTCGGATGCCATGTATCTAAAGAAACGTCTTCTTAGAATCCAAATCTGCAAAAAGAGAATTGTTGCTAGACGATGTGGAAATTTCCACACTGGGATACTGTAAGCGACAGCCATTAGCCGGAAATGGAACTAACAGCCGAAATGGAGCGATTGAGAATCGATCCATTGACCCATAGCCTGATCGGTAGTTACTGACAAGTTTCGACTAGACTGCGATGGATAGTGGTAGACAGATCCCAAAATGGGCCATACACTGGTCTAACCTTGCTTCAGTAAAGATTGCCGTTATGCCAGAACCAATTTCGCTTGTAGATAAGGCGTTTTCCTGGTGATGTGCAATTGGAACGTTTTTACCTAGCGATATTAGATCTGGCCTCCGGGAAAAACCCTTCCCTCTCTATCATGAGGTTGAGAAGCGATTCCTACCTAGCTGAGATAATTGCGTGTTTTTTGCTGAGCTAGTAGTTCTACTACTCTCGTTGTGTCGTAACAGAAAGGCAAATCGTTTTTCTAGAAATCGAAAAATGATTTCGCGATGGTGATTAAACGACTTTCATGTTAATGTTAGCGTTCAAGATCGTCGACACAATGGATCCACTTCAGTGGAATGAGACATATAATTGAACCAGAAAAACGCTACGCTTCCTGCAAGAAATACTACAAGCTGTCCGGTCTGCGAAACGCATGACACTCTCTAACCACAGCACACTGACGGAATAGAAAACTTTCAAATGACTTCCAATTACTCGGCACTTTCAGCGCTCAATATTGCTACTCTTTCCTGCTTTGAACAACAGCAGGGTAGGATAGGTGACCTATTGTCCTCCTCAGAACTAAGTATAAAATTACCACATTTGTCAAACCCATGAATCCGACAGGGGAACAGTTACAAGTCTTTTGTAATCGTCATAGTGGTACACACTGATAGGAATCAGAATTTTACTTTGTTTGGGCTCAACTGAAAATTCCACCCGAATTTTTCGTAGGTTGTAAGCGACATGGCGCAATGCTGCACAAACCAACATTCGGAGGTCTGTCAAGTACTCCTTACCTCCATAATTGATCCAAATTCGAGCGAAGTTCTTGTAGACGCACATTTATCAGTTATATTCTCGTCAAGAGGGTAACCGGGTCTCCCGTTTCTTTGCATCTTCGAAATTTTCAAAAATTTTTGACAAATTTGAAAAGTTCGCTTAGAAAGCGGCGAAGAATTAGTAAAATTTCAATGGATGCTGCGGGTTTGAATACAGATTTCAAAATTCCCCAGACTTTGGATACATGGCGCATCCTGACAATGGGACGAGTTTCATGAAAGATCTATGGCCCGGAGTGTGTGGGGTGTTTTCTCTCATTGTCATCTTCAAATTAGTTGTTAATTTCACTGGTCTAGGGAGGGCAATTTTGGGTACTCCTGCATTCTATGATCCTTTTTCTAGTGTTACGTAAAATTGCCCTTTGTTAATGCGCTCTTGACAGTAATCCGTTGTCGACATGAAGAGCGCTTAGCCAAATTAGCGAACTTCTCCTCGATTGGTCGTTGGCAGAGCGCTCTTAACCTCCCCTTCTTTAACCCAACCCTAGTTTTATTTCGCAGTACTATTTACTTGAGGTCCGTGGTTTCGAAATACACTGGTGTGCAAAACTTAAGGACGAGACAGATGAAGTATCATAACCTTTTGATAGCTTTGTGGACCGTTTAACGGTTCCTGTTAACTGCTTTCTTTAGTGCCCTGTGGCAGCTCTTTGTATGTGTGGTTAGGTTCCATAGAGTCATGTTACGCGCCAGTAACACGTCGTTGGAAAAGCTACGTTCGTCCCTAAGTTTTGCACACCAGTGTACTTTCCAGCAGAACAATTGAACCCTTCACTCCTTGCCTGCCAACTCTGGTCGTGCTCACTGCAACGAGCTCAATCCGGACGTTTGTTTCATTCGGACGGAAAATGCTGAATGGTTTCAGAAACTCCACAGCGCTTCACACACGTTTCTGTTGTTCATCATTGCGTTGGCGCTTTTTTACACGTTCCTCAATTGTCTGGCTGTTTCTTTTGAGTGCTGCGATGAGAGGGGGCGGGATCAGGTGGCCCCGCCCTCATGGGTCGCCAAGCCAATCAACGCATTCGCAGCTCGTTTAGTCGCTATCGAGCTCCATTACTCTACGGTAGCAATGAGTATGCTAGACCCACGGCAATTTCTAATGCCAACATTTTGTCTTGATCCATCCGCTACATCACTGCTCAGCCAACAACCTGCACAGAACTCTAGTGGTGGTAAACTGACACATTCATTTCGTATTTCTGACCTTTTGGAATCGCCAAGTGAAAAAGGCGACACTAGCACCGACAAAGGTAAGCCCTTCTCCTCCTACCTTTATTTTTTGTTCAAAATTCTGTTCGATAAATTCTTCTACTGAAGTGAATTTGTTTTCTGCCTATACTGGTATCATGCACACAGTATTTATTCATCGACTGTCTATCACCGAGTGCCACCTGTCAATTTCGGAACTCATCCAGCCATGTTGCGTACAATACAAACGGGCGATTTTGGGCGATTAGCCAGAACTCAAGTGGAAAATGATAGTGTTTACGAGATTTACGGCGACATCGGATTATCCGATTGTTAACCTACAGATTTCAGAAGGTCAAATATCGCCAAATGAGCGCTGTTAGTGATAGTCGAGACGTTCTAATAGTAAATGATGCTTTTTTTGATAACTCTTCCTCATGTCGATGACTTTCCAGATCATTCGACGACATCACGACCTGATACTCCGGAATCCGGCTGCTCGCAAGTCCGGAGTAGTCCGAATGACACCAGCCCTCTTGGATCGAAGAAAGCTCGGAAAGCGAGAACGATCTTCACTGACAAACAACTACAAGAACTTGAATCAACGTTTGAGAAGCAAAAGTACCTGAGTGTCCAAGATCGTATGGATCTCGCTCAACGCATGGGCCTAACGGACACACAAGTCAAGACCTGGTACCAAAATCGAAGGTGAGCTTAACTTTCTATTCCTTTACTTTCTCTGCCTGCTTTTCTGCTCGTTTATTCGGCCATTTTTGAACTAATGACTACGGTAGCCATTCAAGTATGGGCTTTAACGTGCTCATATATGGTCCTTAGGATCTCGTGTAATATTCTCAAACGACAGCAAAACGCATTATGCGGCATTGTCCGCCTAATATAGATGATTAAATTATCGGGGCCGCGTTCTATTATTCCTGCGCTTATTAATAGCATAAAGTATTGCGTGTTGTTTTAAGAGGGACACCGCCATCTGTCGGCTACAGTCACGGAAAGGGATATGGGGGGTCTGGGACGCATCATGATCGCTTTTATGAGGTGTGAAGTGCGTGCGGCGTTCAGCAGCTTGACAGACAGCCGGGCACATGCGGAACAAACTGAACACAGGAGACCCTGGGATTAAATTCTCAACTGACCCAGACCTTAGCACCTCGAGGCTTGTGCTTGTGGATTTGTGAATCACGCATGACTGACTTCAGAAGTTCACACTACTGAGCGAGGGGCAGATCCTCTAGTGAAAAGTCCGCTATTAAATATGTTATGTCCGCCTCGACCGTGGGTTACCCTGATCTGAGCCAGGATTCGCCGTGCCCAAGACGCTGAGGCCAAATAGTCTCAAGGCTTGTTAAGCCATTAGTATTGCCATTAGTGCCAAAAGTTGAATAGTGAAGCCAATATTCTCTGATTCCAGTTCAGCTTGTAAGCCTTTCCATGAGAATGGTGACCAATCTCAGGTGGACAGACTAGTTACCTTGCGAGCATGTTGAGTGAAAGAAGTGACTTTTTCCCCTCGAAAGTAAACCCCGTTTGACCCTTTTATGGCCCTCAAAAGTACGCAGTTTGATCCTAACATGACCCGAAATGAAATCAAAGCCGTGACCATTATCCCAGTACGAACGGCTGCTTTCAGGACAAAATGGAAGCGGCAAGCAACGACCGGCATGGAACTGCTCAATGAGGCTGGAAACTTGGCAGCTGTTCAAAATTTACTTCGCTCTAATCCCTACTGGGCCGGATATGTCGGCCAACTGGGTGGTATACCGACACCGATTCCGCTGATGATGGGCTTACCGTTATCAGCCACACTACCATCACTTCCACATTCGCTTTCATTTGTTCTACCGCCGACGTCACATGTTGGCCCATCCAAAGAGTCGACACCAGTTGATGTTGAAGTCACTACGGCAAACTAATATAGCTTGTGTCATTTATATGATCTCTTCTCCTCTCATGTTATGTGTAAAAAAAATAGCTGGATAAATTTGTGCTAAATGCAGGCGGGCAGTCAAGCAGTCAGGTGGGTAGGCAGGCAAGCAGGCAGTCAAGCAGGCAGGCAAGCAGGCAGCAGCAGCAAATAGCTATAGACCTGCACATGTTGTCTGAGTTGGTGGACCGTGTGATACGGTAATGATGTTAATTAGTGGGCAAGATGATGCGACCGTAACAGCAGTGATTTTGCTCTTTATGGCGCGGGGGTTAGGGGACGCGTAGCCCGGCGTTCGTTATGCATTAAGGAACACGCAGGACGAACTGTCTCTAATTTTGTGCAGCTGTTATTTTATGCGCCTGATATGAATATGATTTGTCTAGTCATTATACTATACGATTGTTGTCTCCATACTGTATTTTCATTCCGGCTATTTGATCTATTGATCGATATTGATTGAACTATACGTAGAGATTTGACGCAATCATGCGAATTTCATTTTCATCTACATGTGAAACCTATGTGTCATGGATCCAACATAATTTTCCAAATATTCTCATCCACCCTTTCCTCCCCCCCCCCTCCCTTGCCATTAGTGGGTCCCGTCACGCGTACATCACCACCGCACAGCTGTTGTCATATCGATAGTAAATGCGCAACACCGTTTGTTTCCCCTCACAATTGCTGTGTTACATAACATTCAATAATGATAATTGCTTGTGTTAATCTTTGCATATAAAGATCTATGAACGATAACCGTTATTACGTTGTTGCGTATGTGGGCATTTAAAAACATCTAATCGCCTCACTTGACAGTAATCGATCTGTGCGCTAAAGTTAATCCATGAGTTCAAGTATAGGGTTTTCTTAAGCAGACAAACAGTAGGGGAGACCTCAGGTCTTCATCTTCTAAGGTGATCGTTTCACCTCAGTTTTTTCGCCTCATCATCTTCGCCACACGTTTTTCACGTAGCGCTCTGGTGTGTTGGTGGTGTGTTTGCATGTGTTTGACATTGAAAGTGCTTCGGAAATTACGAAACTTCACACATGGTCTCTCCACACATTATTATACGCCATGTGAACCCTTCATCGATAGGTGGCGATCCGATGACCGTACAGTAGTGGCAGCGTTCATGCTGCCAGCTGCCCGAAGCGCCCGAATTTTAGCCCGTGTTTCAGCGCCTAATCGCGTTCTCGTGCTTTGTAATGAATGACACACACACTCAACGACAATCTTAGCAACTAAGATGTGATTGTCGTGCTAGTGTGTGTTGTCGAAATTGAATTTGCAGTCGATTGGTGTTGGTGCGGAAACCGCCAATTTGAGGAATGCGTGTGAGAATAGAGACTGAGAGCGATGAGGATCCGACCCCATCTCAATTACATATTCGACTTCTGTGACGCGTTGGCTGGACGGATGGGGCTGGCTGGCTGGGTTGGACGGCTGGCTGACGGCGTCGATGGCGGCGATCGCTTCCTTCATCCATCCGTAGACGCGTGCGATGTCGCGTGCGAACAATTGGCAGATTGAACGGGAGGATAGGCGTCACACGGAAATCCAGTTACCACTAAGCGCACCAAATAGCACGTCGAAACTGACTCTCTTTGGCGCACCACACACCCCACACACACACCATTCGTTGACGACGTCTTACTGTACTTCAATTATTCACACTGCGCTCAGCGTGACCGCACGTCATTAAACTGTTGTTGTTGTCATCGGCTGGACATTAGCTTTAATAGGAGGAAATGTAGAGTCTTACACTATCGAACCCTTGACAGGCACGAGAGCGCTATGGTGTCGTCGTCGTTCTCGTCCATGACAAGGACTCATTGACACCACGACGACAGCGGTCGTTTCAGGGCAGCGGCGTCGGCAGCTCAATTAAGGCGACACTATGCGACACAATGTTAATCGCCTTCTTACATATAACCTTGCTTGTAGTCGGTACCTCTTTTCTCAATCGAGATGCGAGAAGAAAGATGAGTTCTAATTGCCCTCCCATCAACCGCCACCACCTAAAGGACATAACAACGTGGGCCTCCGAAAATAAATTGCCAACGGAATCATCTCGTATTCCACTCCGGCGTGGACGATCCTCTAAGGAACACCTAATCGAACAGGCTCCTCCATTGAGTATGACTAAAAGATCTGTTGTGGACCGAATCCACGTGCTGTCCGTGATTACTGTACAGGTTCTTAGGACGAGGCTATTACAATAATGGGGTCGTATGAGAGGTAAGAGGAGATCTTTATAACCTCACAATGCCGATGATATTAATGTTTATGTGAAAGGTTCTTTGCAAGCCAGCTATTCAGCCCAGTAGTTTCACAGCCCTTTTCGAGTCCGGCTCATACAGTAGCGGTCAAAAGTGTTCGCCGAAACGGTTTTTCGTGCTTCTCTTTTTTGCCAGAAAAAAATCAATGGTGGCCTCGAAAATTTTTTCTTTTGAATATCCTGATTCTTTAAACTTGAGGATATAAAAACACTAGAAAACATAGTATATCAATCTTTGGAGGGCGTTGCTCAAGCGAGAAAAAATAATGCACTAAAAATCGTTTCGGCGAACACTTTTGACCGCTACTGTATGTCGTTATCCCCATAAAGTCATACCAGCCTTCTAACTGTTGCGATCTACACAGCTCAGAAAGTTTCAAGTTACAGCAATTACCTCAAAGTTACAGTAATTGTAATTTTAACTTGCTAGAATATGTAATGAATGGTGTCGGACACTAGAGGAGGCATTGTGTTAAGTCTTTCGACTTCACTCATTCGCTCGACCTGATGCTTTCACGCCAAGCAGGCATTCAGCGTGTTCTTCTAGCCCAGCAAACAGCAATGGCCATACACCTTTTGTCATTTTCCGAGCTATAGCCCATCAATAGAGGGACTCCGATAAACACTTGCTGATTCCCCGCGACGAGGGGTCCATGTCATGATCATTAAACACGCACGAATTAGCAGCATAATCCGACAGCGAGACTCTACCGGCTGATTTCGGGACAGGATACACCTTTAGACTGGCCAAGGAATGTTTCCTGGGTAACAATCTATTATCCCTTCCCTTACAGTATGCTCTCCTACTGAGCTTGAGGCTCCATCTGGTCCCGAAGCTTTTATTTAAAGGTTCTTTTGTGCCATAATGTATTGAGATGCTGCTGTACTGTATCTATCAATTCTGTTCCCTCAGTACCTCAACTTTGAGCGTTTTACTATTTTATGATCTGCTAAGCCTACGAGGCTTGGAGTGAGGCAGCGGCCTAAAGGTCATGTCTTCTCCTCTAGCAGTACTGTCCTAACGCGGTCCTGTTATTGAGAGGGACTACGACAGTGTGGAGTAAGGACCGAGTTGTGTCGATGTATACCATTACTTATTCAGTTTAGGAATGCAACGAATACGGTATTGCGTCGCACGGCGGAGGTGAATCGTTCTATAATTGCTACTCACCTCACATAACAACACTGTGTCCTTACGATGCGCACAATTCGGTTATAATTCTCTTCGGTATTACAGTTTAAGCGACATGTGAGAGAGGATGGGGATAGAAGGGGGTAACTCACCTCTCGAAGAGGTCATCATCATCATCATCATTGCTAGGAAAAAATCGAGGCCTGTGAACGCGTTTTTTTCCCGTTCCTCGGGACAATCCACTCCTCTTAGCAGCGATTGCAGTAGCAGGAGCAACAGCTACGAACGGGGAAAATAACTACGGTAGACGAGACGATTTGGTGTGGTGTTTTCGAGGTAAGAGCCGTAAATGGACGCTTCGCAGACTAGATTACTTCAATGAGATTGCGCCTCGGCGTTGAGGGGGTTTTTGGCCGGTTTTAGATAAATTTGAGGCAGCCTAATGGATTAGAATTAGCACAAAGTGTCGTGTTTAGGGTCCATCTTTCCATTGGTTTTGGGCGTGCGCTCCTAGCAAAAAAAAACAACGTCGAGTCGAGCTTTTCTCAAGCGATACTTTCTGTTTTGTAGTAGTATTTGAAAATTCAGTAAAATTGGTGATTCAGGAAAATATCGTGAAAGAAATTCGCATAGTTCATATTTTACTGGTGTGATTATCTAATTAGTTGGCAAAAGACAATTGCAGTAATCGGCTTGACCCAATGACGCGGACAACAGCCAATCGTACAGTAATCCCCACTGTACACTATTCATCCACTCGAGCGATCCTGAAGCTAATATTATAATTACAATTTAGGAATTTGAACGGTAATTATCAAAAGTGAAAATAAGGAAAAATTCGTTAGTTTACTGAGTAGAAATAGAATATTTCTAGTAATTTTTTTTCACGAACCGCGCAAAGCTTCAGTTAGAGTTTAGAGGGGAAAAACAGTGAAGTAATGGCGTTGAGAGAGCAGTATCGTCGCTGTTGGATGAGGGTATCAATTAGAAGAGTCACTGCCAAGCATCCATAGACATAGAGATGGAGAGCGTGAATCTCCCGGGGAATTAGCGTGCGGTTTTTGTGGTAAATTGAAGGGAAGTTTGTGCGTGAAATGAGCCAAACAAGGACAAAAATCCAAATTTATGCTGAAACCGGCAATTGGTGGACACATCGCGTTTCCGACCACATACACACACAATGCGATGATCCCACTACAGTCAGTCACTCACGAAAGAATTACTGCTGCACAACCGATTCAACGCCGAACAATGGCGATTCTAGATGGTGTTTATTGATGACAGCCAGCAGAGGATTTCCACTGTTATTATTAGTCACCCGAATTGTCCTTCTTCTCAACCACTAGAAACTATCAATGAAGTATCATAAGGTATCAAAATGTATCTTTACGAACCATCAGAATAAATCTCTGGAAAAAAAGCAAGGATCATCTTTTGACTTATTGAAGCGCTAACGTAGCAATTGTCCTCGATAGTTACATAGTTACATATGCGTCAGCAGAAAATTGTTCACTGAATTTATTAAAAGACCGGAAATCGGAACGCGGCGACTAACGGTGTGGAAGATTTTTTAGA